TTCCTACTACGATGGTATGCAAAAATACCTGGACCTACAAAAAAACCACAGAAATACTGAGTAATTAAGGCATCTGAAGATGCAACAATACCAGAGTTAAGAACATCCAATTTCAGATTTAGACATAGACGAAAGAACTGGAAGGAGCCTGGATCCTAGTGGAACACTATCACTCCTAGTCAACAATGCAATGGTGTATGTTAGGAAGATTTTTTTTAAAGTTAATTACCTCAGCATCCTGCTCCCGAAGCTGGTACGTTTTCTCTAAGCACTGCAGTATTCTAGGACACAATGTCTTCTCCTCCAAGAGAGACTCCAGAAGTAAGACCAGCTGGTCAGGGAGAAGCTAAGAGGAAAATAAATGCCATGTGTGAATCAAGATCTCTGCTGACTGAACATATAAATGGAAACAAACCAAAGAGGACAAGATTGTGATAACCTGTGTACTTCCAGCATGTGCTTGAAATACAAGAACTTCCAGCTAGTTTCTGAAAAACCTCAGCGTTTACGTGTCTGTGTTCTGAAAGACTCTGTGCTGGGGCCCAATTAAGACTCATTTTCCATGGTTTTCATTACTATAGTTAGACCAGATCTAAACCATGCTTATCTTATTGAAACATAATCATAGCTTATTAAGTAAGATTTTTATAGAATACATATGCTAAGTAATTCCATTTTGTTTGGGCTTGAGAGGAATAAAAAAAGAGAATAATTTACAATGCATAACTTCAGGAATCAACCAGGCATATGAATGAATAATTTTTAATAGTGGCATTTTTATCTGTTACACAACCAATTCCATGATATTCTTACAGTGAACAAAGAAACACAACAAAATAAGTGACCCACAAAACAACAACACATTTTGAGGCGTATTCTAGTGCAATGAGTCACAAGCCATCCATCATTAAATGGTAAAGACACATGAATGTTATGTTTGTGGTACACACAGTATGTATCTACCTAGACATGTATATACATTGAGTAGTTAGTCGCCTGACTCCAGAAACTATCATTTTCAAGTGGAACCTAATGTAATCTAAAAAGAAAAAGCGTAAGAAGTCTGATATAGCAAGTGCTTAAGTGCTCTGTTTAATAGGCTTATTGCATGAACAAATAAATAATTCAAACAGAGCTCAGAGAGAAATTACACCAGCTGCCAGGAAACATCTATTGGAAACTGAGGGTTCATGGTGATCAGTCAGAAGTTTGTTATATGCCCCAAAGCCTTCCCCACTATTCATCATTGCAGGGCACCAAAAGAGGAATGGGGGGAAGGGAGGAAGAATGTGAATTTAAGCTTTTGCACAGAAAAAGAAACCAGCACAGCTCACTTCTAATGTTCTTCCAGACATTAGAATAATGATAAATGGATAAATGAAAAAAAGATATCCTGTTACTTTAACACTACTTCCAGCTTTTATCACATTTGGTGATTTTCTGCTCCTGCCTTGCTGCCCATGTCCCCCTCTGCTGCATCAGTGCACTGAGCGGGTACAACACAAAGTCAGCTATAGGAAATGCCTCTTCCAAAAACACACCCCACAGCCAGGGCTGTTTATGTGGACTGAACAAGTCTCGACCTCTGATCTCTAACAGCAAGTCCATGAAGGCATCAAGGATCTTCTGGTAAGTCTTAATCTGTAAAATATTGCCATTAACCACTATCTGAACAACATGACATTTTCTTCCCTTTTAGTCTGATATAATTTAGCATTAGTACCTAAATCAGAATAAAGAGGAAAAGAGATCTCTAGGATTTTAATACTTCGGTTTCCTTGCATTTTTATTTCCTTGCATTTTTTTATTATTAAAGTTGTATTCTTGGAGACTGAAAAAAACTCCCATCTTACTGGCTCTCACTGGAACATCGTTTCTAAGTGATACCGAAGCCTGCCAACAAAATGGAGTTGTTAAAAATAGTCAGACATTTAAAAATATTGAATATTTCAATTTCAGGGCAACTGCTAAAATGCCAACTTGAATGTTTATTGCACAGTCCAACAGCAGCTGCCTGGGGGATGGTGAGACACTCTAAAACAGGGAAGGCTTCTGGGAAGTGGCTCTGCTTGGAAACTGAATTCATTCTGAACACTAATAAAATCTGAAATGTTGCAGAACACCACACACAGAAAGGTAACTTCTGAGTTAGAAAGCTTTCTCTGCTAACTACAAAGACAGCAGAGCAATACTTAATTTGTAGAAACTGTAGAACAGCTGCATGAATACATAGGTACAGAACACCTGAGAGTTATTATATCTCCAGTATAATTGCTATACAGATTCACCCACAGAAAGCTATTGTTTAAGATAACATTACAGAATCTCACTGAAGCCAACAAAAGCAGAGCAGCAGAGCAACAGCCATGTCCTTAACTTACCTCTGCCTAGTGCTGCATTATGGGTGAGGAGTTTCAGAATTACAGGTTAAACTCTTATCAGTTTAGATTTGAGACTGCAGAGAAAAAAAATCTGAGACCATGGCTTCTGTTATTTTCCCACGTTCCAGCTGCCGAAGATGAGACTTTACATAGTAATTAAAGTCCAAGGTAGGAGCTAGCAAACACTGGCAGAGAGGGTGGGGGCACCAGCAGAAGAAATGCTGGCAGACCTGTAACCAACGTGGCACTAGTGGGCGCAACTATTACATTTTGTTCTCCCACTACTTCCAACACAAAATAAAAGAAGGAACATTCTCTTTTATTTCTTATCCTTTCCTTTCAATAAGAGACTCTACCTAAGAGAAAAACCTATCCTAAGCAAAGAGGCAGAAAGCTCGGCCGAAGTTTCACGACAGAGGCTACGACAAAATTCCTTCAGGGGTTTAGCAATCATCTTTTCCCCAAACACAGCAATATGACTAACGCTCTCTCCAAAGCAGCTTTTTAACAGTTATAAATAAACTTCACAAAATTGCACTCAAATTTTCAGTCAAAAAACTCACACTCCATTATTTTTCGTTTTCCCTACGACCATCCATATTTGTCCCACCCACCTGTTACTTCTCATCTTTCACACCACGAGAATTGTTTGGGGTACACGCTGTTGATTTTCCATTTGTTTGCCTTATATGTTTAATACAAAGGGGCCCTTGCTTTTAAGTGCTACCAAAGCGTAAGTGCTGGAGAAAACAAAAAGTAAATTTCTTTTCAACTATTGTGAAGCCATTTTCCTTTACAACTCATATTCTCATATTCTGTGAATGTGTATTGAATATCTAACATACATAAAAAACCCACACAACACAGCTACAGCAAAATACAGCAGGATAAACTTCACCATGTCAATGTGCATCTCCATGCTGAAAACATTCAGAAAACAACCATCACACCCCAAACACAGAATTTCAGTCTTCCTGTTAAAAAATAAATAAATAAATAAATAATGACTCTCTGAACTGTACTGCAGCATGCTCAATCAAAATGCTCAAACATATGTAATTATTAAAGTAGATCACTTCAACGAGGAAATGTGGCGAGGATCAAGAAATAGTTTTCATTATGGCAATAACTGCTGCAACAGCATCTATTTATATTGTAAAGTAGATAGCTCCTGTCCCAACCTATGCCTGCTGCATGGAAATCATACTACTTTTCCCAGGGTTCCCCCTCCCCCAGTTGCGAGTACTGACACTACAAGGAGGGAATAAATTAGTATGTTGCAATCAAGCACTCCAGAGGTTTCCTGTCACGTCCCATATAATTAAACATCATCCCCACTATAAAGCTGTATCCCAGCACTGTACACTTTATCTTGCCCTTAAGACGGTAAAACCTCTCCTGCAACTCTTCAGCCTTTTACGAAGAGTTCACTTTGTCCTGCCAGTAAATAGCCATTTGTCTCCTGCTTCCCGTGTTACCCGATGTGGTGGTTTTAAAGTTTGAATAATTAGGCTGTTACTTCTAAAAGAAGCTGCAAATGACAGGGAGTATCAAAACTAGGTCTGTATTTGAAAAAGGCAAGATGAAAGAATTAAAGAAAATGTGACCAAACTGAACATATAACTCAGACTATTACCGAAGCAGCTTACTGGGGCTGAGATTCAATGTATACTAAATATCTGGGAACTAAGAAAAAGCATACTTTGTATTTTATTCACATCAGTATACAAGACACTTAAGCCATTATACTGTGTTATAAGAATATCTCAAGACATTAGTAGGTTTGAAAGGGTTTCTACAATAATCTTGGAACAAAACTACGAGATTTCTGAATCCTACCCCTAACCTGTAAAAAGCACAAAGAAAACAAATCTTGCTTCTTCAAAGATCTGGTATGGCAGCTATAGAGGTCATCGACCTCACATCCCAGAAGACCACCCACGCAAAGGAGCATATTTATCAATTCCTACATTAACAAATGCAATAAATGCCAGATTCACCCTTTATACTAGAAAAAATGCCACTGAAACATTTGACTACTGACCTTTCACAGCCATGAAATGTGACACAGATATATCTACTTGAGCATCCACAGCACCAGCGCTTGCACTGCACCCCTAAGCCAGGACACAAATCACTAAAGTAGTACAGCTGGTATGCTGAATATCCCATTTGCTCCTGCCTGCACTTGAATGAAGTCATTGAAAGCCTCCTCGGAGGGGAAATGTGCCTCAGACTAATGCAGCAACCGATTGACAGTGGCGTGATTTCTATTATTACTCCATTATCACACTGGGATCTGTGCCTAAACGAGCATACTTCCTCCCTGATGCCATTTCCTTTTATCCTGGCTCTGGTCTAAAAGCGGATCAATGGTAGTAATATATATGATGTCACTTCAATTTACAGCTACTGCCTCCCTCTCTCGCATGCACAGATAGATCGATTCTTCCCAAAAATGGTTAAGAAATGCATGGGGAGACTCTTCTCCCAGAAAAGGGTTCTCTGCTATATTTGTCTGTGTAACCACAGCAAGGAACTGTTTACACTGAGCAAAAACAGGGGGGAAAGGAAAAAAAGCCACTACTGTGCACTGGAAAATGCTGGCTGAAATACAACACAAACAAGGCCCAAAAGAGAATTGAAGCAATTTGACCTTATAAAATTACACAGAAAAGTTTCAAGTTTCTAAGGCACCATATATTTCTCCCTTATTTCTTTGGGAGAAGGTAAGTCTCATCCGTCGTGTCGTCCCATCGCCCCCCCCTCCCGTCCCCCCCCCCGCCAAACATGAAATGTCTTTTCATTTACATTTTTACAAGATTTTCCAAAGTCAAACTGAATTCCTTCCCACCCCTCTCTTAGGAAAGAAAGGGAAAAACTCCACCCCAGGGTTCAATAGTGAATGGTTCCCTTCAGACAGAATTTCCTCATTAACTGCAGATAAGAAAGCGTTGCTACTAGT